TTAAATAGTTTAGTTTTAGTTTCAGAGCTGCATAAAAGATGTTCAGACAACAACAAATCTATTATAAACTTCATTAAAAATTTTAAAATCTGATCTTCATAACGAAAAATAACTGGGGAACATTGTGTTAATGTCTTATTAAGTATTTTTAAAGCACAGTTTCTACAAAATTCATTTTCTCCATCACTGTGTTCTAGTGTAAGTGCAATTATAGACAGTATTCTATCAGTGTGCTTAACTAAACTTATATCCATATGGTTAAAAAATTCAGGCAAATAGTTAAGTAATATTTTTTTTGTTGAAAACTTGTTAGTATACTCTATATTTTCAAGAATTTTTTCTAATGTGTCGTCCCACTTTGTATATTTTATTTCAAGATTGTATTTTGGATATAGAACTAACAACACTTTTAAAAGACATGATAAAGTAACTTCATACACTTGATCTTCATTCATATACAATTGCTTAAAAAGTGCATCATAAATAACATCTGCATGATTATGGAGACATAGGTCAGAAGGTGTAACATTGTTTATTAAATACTCTATAGTACTAATACCAAGACATTTGTTCTCAGTTTCATAGTCATCCACAAGTTGAAGAAGAAAAGGTAATATTGAACTAATATGAGAAACAAGCAATGGAAATTTAATTTTGGTGACACACCACACTAACACATGCTTTAAATATGGAACTTTTTTCCATTCATTATGATATAATCTAGGAGTTAATTCTGTTAACAACTTAGGAAAAAGGCCTTCTGGAAACCATGCAACTAATGGATTTTCACTTCCAGAAACCAATGAAGAAACATTATGACAATTAGAAATATGACAAACTGCTTCTAGGATATCTTTACTAATATTTTTTAAAATATTGTTTGACCATTTATAATTTCCTAACCTTGAAGTGACAGCAATGAGAAACTTCCCACCAAGTTTTTTTAAAATTGACTTTTGAAAGTTGTTACCTTCCTTTAATTTAATATTTCTATTCCAACATTTGTAACCAGCTGTAAAGCAAAAAAAGTCCATAAACATTACCAATGACAATTCAGCAATATACATATTTTTTTCAAAATTGATTTGATTTGTGTTAACATAAACATCTTCATTTACAATAATTGGGTAAAATTCATCTGATAAAATGAGGCATTTGTTGCAAATGTTTATTAATTCTTTTAAATCTTTTTCATCAAACGTTTTAAACTCAAGATATAATCGAAACATTTTAAACACAGTTGCAATATTATCATCATTATTCAAACTGTTCAAAAATAAACTGATGTCAGCTAAATTTATTACTGATAATTTTCCAGAAATGTTATTTTTCTCAACCAGCATCTGATGGTCATCCATTTCACTACACTTTTTTATAATAATATGCAACTCTTCTAAAGTATTGCCAGACATTTTTATAATAATATGCAACTCTTCTAATATATATTGCCAGACATTTTCATATTTTGACCTAAAAACACCATAATTAATTTTTAAATAATCTATATTCAATATTTTTAATGATTCATTATTCATTATTTATTTTACTAAAATAATAAGTTGTAATCTATTATATAGGTAAAAACAAGTAAAACTAAAATTTTTAGTTTTACTTGTTTATACTTATAATTGATTACAATTTATCATAACAGAAGCAAAAAATTTAAACATTTTTATACTTTATAAATTCTCCAATAAAACTGCATTACAAATAGAAAAATGAAGATTCTTCAAGTTTATTTTAAGCATGCATGTAAAAGAAGGAAAATACTGCAATAACGTAATATATTTTAACTGATTAAATATTCTTCATAAACCACTGTCTGAAACTTAATCTGACTAAATCTTAGCAGATTTTGCATTAAAAAAATGTGAAGTTTAACCACTAACCTTCATTGCAGGAAAATAAAGAGGATGGCTCCCCCAATAGTAATGAGAGAAATTTGTAAAACATGTCAACTTTTTAATTAATTTGGTCACAAAATATGATCACGTAAAATTTTGATTTTAAGCCAGATAGCTTAGTTAGTGTTAAATGAAATTTTAGAACTAGTAACCATCAACTAACCACATTAGATGTACTATTAAAATCAAATATCTAATTGATCAATAACTTTGCGTTAAGACTATTTATAGCAAACCTTTTCCTGAGCCATTACCAATTTCCAATATAATAATAGTTTTGTAGTAACTTGATAGTAAAGTATAACACAGAAATATAGCAATCAAAAAAATACAAATTTGCAGAAAAACTGTAAATTAACTTTGGATGTTATAAGTAATTGATATTTAAATTTAACAATTTATCTATTAAATGATCAAATCCTGTTTATTTTGAATAAAGAAAAAATAAATTTAATGACCTTTATATTTGGGGTAATCCTAAGAGTGTTTTTAGCAAATCTTTTCCTAAGTTGGCATTAATTTCCAATATAGTAATTTATAGTAATACATAGTAATTTTATAACAAAGCATTAAATACAAATTGTTCAGTGATGTGTTTTTAAATTTTTTTCCGCGGAAAAATATTAAATTTGAATGTTCAAATTAAGTGAATTAGTGAGCGAAAATCAGCTCTTAAATCAGAAACACTCTTTTAAAGAGTCTTTATAATTTTATAAAAATGCAAATGCAGCCTGAGGCTACATCGAACTCTAGATAAAATTTCAGATAGAATATGTTACTAATTCAGGATTTATGTCAGTTTTAGTTTAATTCCATTGGAGGGATGATTTACAATATACAGAGCGTTGTCAATCTCGCAGATGACTGGCTATCAAATGACATTGTTGAACGACTTTGCATAAACAACAACCCGGATTGCCAATAACGCTTGAGATGAATTTAGCTGAGCAACATGAACTTGTCTATTTTATTATCATGAGGTTATTTTTATGGCAGTGAGCTGGCATGATCCCTTAAAGCAGTATTGACAATCCTAAAACAAAACTAAAAAGTGAACCTTTGTCACTATCGACTCAGAGCTTAACAAAAAAAGCCATCAGAAATATTACGAGACTGAATTATATAATTGACAAAACTTGGTAAATCTTTACAATTAAGTCACAATTCGAAATTTGTCAAAATCTCCTTTTTCGGCTCGGTGTTTGGTGCACAGTTCTAACCAGTTTTTTTAACCCGTTGCTTAACAGTTCCATATTAAATATGGACATTGATAAGAGCTTAATTAGTCAATTTAGATGCACTTAAAGGTGGTTTGGTGCTATTTGAATAAATGATTAATAATATTTATGAAAAATTTTGTACAGAAAATTTATTTATAAATTTGGATTTTAAATTAAAACAATCGTGATTTTCAATTAAAATAATCGTGATTTTCAATTAAAACAATCTTAAAACATTTAACGCATGCGCAATCTCAACATTCTATATTTTTTTTAAAAAAAAGGTCTTCTTTATATATTTATTTATCTAATATTATATAAATTTATTTTTATTAATATTATATTAATTTATTTTAATTTAATGGAGTTTATTTTAAATTTGAATGGATGTCACGTTTGTTTTAAATGGATGCAAAGCCATATTTTTTTACATATTTTTATACACATATTTTTTATACACATATTTTTATACACATATTATACACTGTATTGGCAAAACAACCATGATGTTCAATTAAAACATGCATGATGATAATTAAAACAACTATGATTTCCTATTAAAATATTTAGCGCATGAGTATATTAGATTTTCATTAAAACATGCAGCGAAATTCTGTCTGCTAAAATAAGCGAAAATTTGTTTTGAGATTGGTCGTTGATCAAAGAAAAATTCAATATGAAACTTCATTGCCACGAAAAACTCAATTTGAATCTTCATTCCGCGAAATTCCGTTTCCAAAACATGCGAGATTTTGTTGTAAATCTAGCCGTTGATCAAGGAAAAACTCAATCTGAAGCTTCATCGTTAACAGGAGTTAATCGAAACACAATACAATCAATTTTAAGAAGGAACGATCGAACGAATTTAACACTTCCTGGTTCTAGAAGTGGCGCTCGTCACGTTATTTATAATGAAGAGATTAGAAGAAGAATTGAAGAGCTTATAAACGATAACACAACGACAACTATAATTAAAATTAAATATGCTTTAAATGTAAATGAATTAATTAAAACTGTCTGGAGATGGGTGACCAATCTTGGATACACATAAAAAATTACTCGACCAATTTATGAAAGAAGAAACAACAATGATGTAAAAAATCTTCGTATTGAATATGTTAGGTGGTATACTTCTATCTCGCCTATTAATCGCTATCGAAATATTGTTTTTATTGATGAAAGCTCATTTAATTTACACATGTTTTGCAGTCATTCATGGGCAAGAAGAGGAGTAACACCAAACCCGATCATTCACCCTAGGCAACGTAACGTTTCGATGATATTGGCCGTCAATGGTTTAAATATTATTCACTGCGAAGCTGTCAGTGTGTCAGTCAACACAGTTTTGTTTCAAGAATATATTGATGAAGTTGTACGAATTTTGGGGACAGAGGAAGAATTCACCCTGGTGATGGATAATGTCAGAATCCATCATAATGTTGAGATAAGGGCTCAGAACATTCAAATAAAGTATTTGCCACCATATTCACCATTCTTGAATTCGTGTGAAGAGATTTTTTTTTATCTTAAGAATAACGTGCGAAGAAATACGGCCCCAGCTGGAAGAAATGAACTAATTTCAAGAATGCGTGAGGCATGCTTATCTATTCCTAATGTTAACTTATCAAACTATTACACACACTGCGAAAGCTTTTTCGAAGTGTGTCTTAGGTCAGATGACATACCTTGACAGTAATTGGAAAATAAACATTGTATTTTAAAAAAAATAAAAATTTTAAATTTTTTTAAAAAATCGAATAAAAAAATATAAAGAAAACCTTTTTTTTAAAATAATATAGAATGTTGAGATTGCGCATGCGTTAAATGTTTTACGATTGTTTCACATTGTTTTAATTAATTGTCGCGGAATGTCATGGTTGTTTTAAATGGTTGTCAAAACCGGTAATGATTTCATTTATGTAAACTTAACTCTATGTTAATAAAAAATTAGTAAACTAAGAAAACCTAACTAAACTAAGAAAACCGTTACTAAAATTAGTCGACTAATTTTTTAGTTAACTAAAATTACCTGACTAACTTTTAAGTTAACTAAAATTACCCGACTAACTTTTTCGCTAACTAAAATTACCCGACTAACTTTCCAGTTAACTAAAATTACCCGTTTTTAGTTAACTAGTTATACCCGACTTTGTTTTTAGTCCAACTAAAGAAATTTGTAAATATATAATATAAACAATTTGGGTTCACGATATCATTTCTATTAGAATTTTTGAATAAGTTTGCTAATACATAATCATTTTACCGCATAACACCGCAAAAATAAAAAAATATAAAAATTATTTTCTTTTAATTTTCAATGCCGAAGGTTTAACGAGATACTTCAAGAAAATATTTCATAAAAATCCAAAAAGTAAACACGGTAAAACACAAATATCTTTAGAATTACATATGCTACCAAGGCCAGCGCAAAGGGGTGAGGGGATGGGGTCGTTGGTTTTGTGAGTGACATCCCATCAATGAACTTTTAGCTCATTTAGTAAGCCAATTTGACTCTTTTCGGCAAGTGTAGAAGTCGGCAAGTGTAGATTTTCAGATTAGTCACTTGGTAAATTAAAAAAACAAGGATTTTTTTTTCCTTTTTCTAGTCAGCTAAAATTTTAACGGCGCTCTCTAGGTGTTACCTACTTGTGCCGGCCCTGTAAGTTACAGTATATTACAACAATTCGTTTTTATTATGTACCACTTTTTTGGATCCAAATTATAAAAGTTTTCAGTTCTTTGAAAAGTACGAGAAAAAAAATATTTAGAATGCGTTAAAAAATTTTTGTCGGAATTTCATTTGACAAAAAAAGTTTGTGATATAATTCCAGTTGAAAAGGGGACAATCAAATCAAAAAAATTTAGGTTATCATTTGACGATGAAGATGATGATTCCGGAAATGATAGTGACAAAATAATAAGTTTAGATTTAAAAAAAGAAATCAGTGGTTATATAAAATTGTCAGTTAATGAGCAAAATGTTTTTATACGTTTGGCATCAAAATCAACATGTGTTTCCAATATTTTATTGTATTTCAACAACGATTTTATGTACGCCTGCTACCAGTGCACCAAGTGAACGCCTTTTTTCTGGCGCACTAAACACTTTGTATGCAAAGCGAAACAGAATAACAACTGAATGTTTTCAAATGTTGATGTTTTTGTACAAAAATTTGGAATTTTTTAATTTAGTTTAAATTCGTTAAATTTAATACTGAAGTTTTTTCTTGCAATAAAAAAAAGTCTCACCAAAGTAGGGCTTTTTTATATAAAAGCCAAATTTCAGTTTTAACCGACCGACTCTCAAATTTTCCAAATTACCGACAAAACCGACAGAATGTTGTAAACCTGGGAAGGTGCCCACACCCCTGTCGGTACGGCCTTGGCAGGGGAGATTATTTTTGATATGATGCAGCGCATAAAAAATATAAGTTAAACGTTCAATAAGCGTACCAAATTTGATTTCATTGACAAAAGGGCATTATTTGTACATTCCATGCTGATTGGGTGTTTACAAACAGTTGCAACAACCTCATAGGCAGTTGTCTCCGAGCTGGGAAAAAATAAAAATAATCGAATTTTGCTTAAAACATATTTTTGAATAACAGTTTATTTCGACTGGGCTCTAGGATTCACAATTAGTAAAGTTTTTTTATTATTATTACAATGCAAGTTATCCAAGAATGATTATAAAATATTGCGCAATGGAGCCAAGAAACGAGAATACAGCAAGATGTACCTCATATAATTCAGTACGAGAGGCAAAGGAGTACTACATCCCTGCCTCTGGAATAGAAGTAGAGGACAACTCAACTGAGATAGGACTTCAGGATATATTAAACCATATGACAAAGAGGATAATGGAAAATTGCCAAAAATTGTCCTTCAAATTCCAAACTTTTACTAATCAACAAAGCTGGGTTTGATGGCAGTACAGGACAATCTGTTTACAAACAGAAAACTGAAGATTATAGTCGTGAAGATTCTTCTGTTGAGCAAAGTCTATTTCTTACTTGCTTGATACCCCTTCAATCCACTGTAGTTGCTACATCTGAAATTATATGGGTTAATGAGAAGCCTTCATCAACTTTGTACTGCAGACCTATTCTTTTTAAATATATAAATGAGAGCAAAGATTTTTTTGTTCAGGAGCTAAATTGTATCAAAGGGCAGAAGCTTCAGCTCACTCTTGTTAAAAATATTTTTGTTGAACATCAACTAGAAATGACCATGTTAGACTGATTTAACTCTGTGTTGTTCTATATGTAGAGCAACTCCAAAAAATGAATCATCTAAATACTATTTATGAGAAATGCAACGCACTAAGTAAATCTAGCTTTTCCTATTGAATATTTACTCTTCATGCATGGATCAGA